GTGAGCTCCAAGTTTAATGTGTTGTTTTGCAGACGTTGCAATCAAGGTCTTTTCGAGACCAATATTTGTGTTGAGAAGGTTACCAACACAAAAAATGAAAATTGATGGCATATTTTATCGAGTTGGGTTAGATGTATCAATTAGTATATTAATTAGTACATCAACACTAGTTATGACCTTATTATTGACCTCACTAATTATACAAATTATAAATATCAAAAATATCTTAAATTATATCATATCATCAATTAATACACTAGTTATTACACTATTTTATGCATATCGTATTACTCTAATCTCATTTGTTTGGTTTTCACTAGTACTATTATCATTGAGGAAATTGTCTCGTATTTATTGATGTATTCATATTTATGACATCAACTTTTAGGGCAATTACTCTAATCTATCTTGAAGTTTGGAATATTGAACCGGTTTGCATTCACTTCAGATTGCACAGTTCAATTTGGCCCACTAAACTTGTCAAGGGTCTTGTTAAAATTTTGAGCTACCTAGCATTGTCGTTATTCAATTATCTTTTAGGGTCCTTTGAATAAATCGTCCATGTAAAAAATTAAATTAATTCGATAACTAAGCTAACCGATTTTATTATCATAATATTTTAAAAAAATAAAAGATTTATTTTTAAAATCATATTTGTTTTGAAGACAAAATGATAAAATCAAATGAAATGAATTAATTTGTACTTAATATCTTAAATTTTACTTGCTGAATTTGATTATCAAATACCGTCTAAGTATAATACTACCTTAAAACATAAGGAGAGGCTGATTTAATTATTATTCCAAACTAATGTTTCAGATGTAATTTTGTAAATTGTCAGGAGAGATCATTGTAGGTGTAATTTACTCATAAAAAAATTTATTGCAAACAAATAATATTGTAGGTTGCTATGATAATATTTTCTGTGCAAACCAAGATAAAAGATTAATAATAATAATAATAATTATAAAAAAAAAAATCTCACTTCTTCTTTTGTTTTTTAACCAAAAAAAAGAAGAAAAGAAAAAACCGCAACTGAAGTTTTTCTATGCATCCAATTCTTTTTAGAGCAAATTTCATTTATACCCTAAACTTTTACACGATTTTCAATTTTCAATAACTCCCTAGACTACTCTTATTTTCATGCGTGCCCCCAAGATTTTTAAAATCATATCAATTTTGTCCCTATCGTCACATTTGAAACGGAAAAAGTTAAAAAAAATTACATTTTGGCCCTAAAGTTTAAAAGAAAGATGCAGACCTACTCATTCTTACCAGCAAACCACACCACCAGCCACCACTTCAAGCATTTCTATCTCTTTCGTCATAACTCCGTTTCGCCTTATTTTTACGTCGTTGGATTCAACTCACGGTCTAGTTTTCGTATCACATCTCATACATCTCGTTCTCTCTTTTTTTGCATGTCATCAAAGCTCCAAAAGTCGATAAAAAATAAGACTTTTCGACTTTTCTTTGAGCCATCTTTCGAAGTTTATATCTTTCTCGATTCTTGACGGTTCTACTTCATTCTTTTGCCATTTTCTTCACCTCACTTCCTACTTCACCCTACACTACGTCGCTTTCTCAGTTCTTCGTGTAATGGACGGCTATGGTATGCCGAAAGTTGTTCAAAAACTAATTTCAAAAATTTTAAAACATTCATCTTTTGTTTATTTCTCCTCTATCTTCCCCATTCTTCTTCTTCTTCTTCTTCTTCTTCTTCTTCACTAATAACATGATGTGGAACATGGTTCTAGGTGGTAACAAAACTGGTGATGGTGATGGTGATGGTAGTGGTCCGGCGATGGTGGTGGGTTTGTTGTTGTAAGGTGGTGGTGATGGTAATGCTCATGGTGGCGGTGATAGAACTTGGTTGTGAAAAATGTGGGTTTGGTGTTGTAAGGTGGTGGTGATGGTAATGCTCACAGTGGTGGTAAAGTTGGTGGTTCAGGTGGTGATGTTGATGAAGTTGATGAAGGTAATGAATGTAACGCCCCGAATAATGAAGTTGGTGAAGTTCACAATAATGAAGTTGATGAAGAGAAATATATCATCTTTCTATATATATACACACATAACGATAATCTATCTCCATAACAACCCTGTTGAAATTGAATAGCTCCATGATATTATGATTATTGAATTCTATTTTTTCTCATCATTCTCACTAAAACAAAGAAAACGCTTAGATGAATAATTGAAGAAGAATAAGAGGATCACTACCCGAACCACCAACTTTATCGCCACCAAACTCCATTACCGCCGCCGCCGCCACCACCACCACCATCACCATCACCATCACCAGTTCCATTACCACCTAGAACTATGCTTCACATCATGTTATAAGTGAAGAAGAATAAGAAGAATGAGGAAGATAGAGGAAGAAGAAATAAAAGTGAATATTTTGAAATTTTTGAAATTAGTTTTTGAACAACTTTTGGCATACCAAAAACACCCATTACATGAAAAAGTGAGAAAGTAAGGTAGTGTAGGGCGAATTAGAAAGTGATGTGAAGAGAATGGCAAAAGAATGAAGTAGAACTGTCAAGAATCGAGAAAGACATGAAGTCCAAAAGATGGCTAGAAGAAAAGTCGAAAACAAGAAAAAAAGTCTTATTTTTTTTATCGGCTTTTGGAGATTTGTTAGCATGCAAAAAGAGAAAGAACGAGAGGTGTGAGATATGATACGAAAACTAAACCGTGAATTGAATCCATTGACGTAAAAATGAGGTGAAACGGAATTATGATGCAGAAGATAGAAGGGCTTGAAGGTGTAGTTGGTGGTAGTGGTTTTGCTAGTAGGAAAAAGTGGGTCTGCATCTTTCTTTTGAAATTTGGGACAAAGGTGGGTTTGGTTTGTGTTTATAGAGTAATTTTTTAGATAAAAAGTACGAAAACTTGTTTGGTTTGCCTTTTTTCAGAAATGGTTTTGAAAAATTATTTTGGGGGGAGAATTTTAAAAAAAGTGATTAATTTGATGTGTATGAGAGAGAGTGAGTGATTTTGAAAAGTAGGTAACCAAATAAAATTTTGAGATTTTTTTTGGAAAAATTTGTTTGGTTTGATTACTCTTGAAAATTTGTTTGTAGAGAATCTCAAAAAATTTTGAGAAAAATTCTTTACAAATAAGTTTTCAAAAGTAATCAAACCAAATAAATTTTTCTAAAAATTTTTTCCAAAACTTGTTTGTTTTACAAATTTTCCAAACAAATCTCTCTCTCATATACATCAAATCAATCACTTTTTCCAAAACTCTCTCTCAAAATAATTTTTCAAAACATCTTTTGAAAAAAAAATCAGACCAAACAAATTTTCGTACTTTTTATCTCAAAACATGTTTTCGTACTTTTTAACTTTTTCCGTTTCAAATGTGATGAGAGGGGCAAAATTTATACGTTTTAAAAACTTTGGGAGTACGTGTAAAAATAAGAGTAGTCTGAAAGAATCATTAAAAATCGTGTAAAAGTGTAGGGGTATAAATGAAATTTGCTCTTCTTTTTATCTATAGTACTTTTGTGACAATGGGATGACAATGCTAACCATTACCACAAAAAAAAAAAACAAAAACAAAAACAAAATCAAACAAAATAAAACAAAACAAAAAATGGAGAGAATTTTAAAATATGACATCAACACAAAATAATTATAATATTATAGAAGTACAAGTAATTTATGCATTAGATTGTACAACTAAGGGTTCGTTTGGAATGTGAGTTGATTTTTTGGCTCTTTAATTTTTTGACTATTTTAGTCTAGAGTTAAAAAATCTCGTTTGAGATAGATTTTTTAACTTTTTTAACTTTTGTGAGAGAAAAAATGAAATGATTATGATTTAAATGTGACATTTTATTTTATTATGCTAAAAAACTTATTTTGCTTTTTTATAACAATTTTAGTCAAAAAAAATTCATTTTAACGTATGTCAAACAAAAACTATCTTGTACTTTTATCTTTTTACAATTATTTTGAGTTTATAACATTTTAATACAATTGAGTAATGCTAGAGACCCCAAATATTTTGTCAAAAATTTTACCAAATGTCTCACATAGATGTAGGACCCACACAATGTGGGTCTCATGTGGATCCCACACACATGTGAGACATTTGATAAAACTTTTGATAAAATTTTTAGAACCTCTAACATTTTTGAATACAATTATCCCCTCAAAAAAATCAAACATTAATGCTCATCAAGAATAACGCTTCGATATGCTCCAGCACATGGAGTGAAATACATGTCTAATTTTTGTTGCTTAGCCTCCTCAAAAAGTCAAAGATAGATTAGGGTTAGCATGGTGATCAAGAAACTTGTAATGCAAATTTGTATACCTAGGACTACCCTACAAATCTTAGACGCGTTCCCTATTTTTTTTTTTGTTTGACCATTGGACGCGTACCTTGTCATGGACGCTTTTGCTTTTAGATGTGGCGTAAATGAACTTTTTAAAGGCCTACTTGCATGTTAAATAGTCCCTGATAAATCCTTCCCACGTGCCGTCACACCCGGAATTTCAAATTTTAATTCCAAAAAAAAAAAAATTATGGTTATATTTGGTTGAGAATTTGATAAAGAAAAAAATAAATAAATAAAATGTGAATAAAATATATTTATTTTTCACTCAATTTTATACATATTTTTCTTTTCTTTTTCAAATTTCATTAATCAAATAAAACGTGTAAAAAATTAAATATAACTATAAGATATATTATTTTATGAGTAATTATTTAGTGATTTTGGAGTATAGGCACGTAATATTTCATAATATTATGATTGGTGGAGAATATGAGTAGGTTGGATTATTGTATTGGGTGATTGAGAAATATAAAAGACATATTAAATGATAATTAGTTAAGAAATACAAAAACGTAATATTCTGAAAATATTTAATAATTTCTCTTGTTTTATGGTGACTTTGTTGGTCAAGCCAGGTTGACATTGTCAAATTGTCAATGTCTAAGGCTATATATATATATACATGCATCAAATGGAAGGCACCAATCTCATTAGCCACATACATATACAAAGCCATAGCCCAGCGCAGTGGAAGAAGAAGAGAGGTGTGCCACATTAGCATTAATTGAAGATGATGAGGAGAGGTGGTGGGGTGTTTTTGGTTCATCTTCCTCTTCTGGCTGCACTTGCACTGAGCTCATGGTGGATGGTGGTGAATGCGGCGGTGACATTGCCACCGGAGGATGCCCCCTTGATCAGGCACTATTACAAGAAGCATAATACGTGTGCCAATGTGGAACCGTTTGTGAGGCACCAAGTGATGTTGTATTGGAGCAAGGATAAGAGCCTCACTGCTAAGTTTCTCAAGTTGCTCTATGCAGACTCTATGGTCAATGTATGTATTCTTTCTTTGCATTTCTATACTTTTCTTCTACCTTAATATATATATATATATATATATATTTTTGATAACTCGGTATTAGTTGATCCAACACTATTACAAGAAGCTTAATATCTATCAGACACTTTTCTTTTCCTTATTTTTAATTTTGGTGTCTCTTGAAAATTTGGTAGCAAATTCAGGAGTTGGAGATTACATGAATTAATTCATAGTGTGGAAAATACATCACTAATGGTTTTAGAAAATATGAAGAAAAAAACTGAAAAAGAAAGTAAAAATATGAATTAATATATATATATATATATATATATTTTTGATAACTCGGTATTAGTTGATCCAACACTATTACAAGAAGCTTAATATCTATCAGACACTTTTCTTTTCCTTATTTTTAATTTTGGTGTCTCTTGAAAATTTGGTAGCAAATTCAGGAGTTGGAGATTAATTAATTCATAGTGTGGAAAATACATCACTAATGGTTTTAGAAAATATGAAGAAAAAAACTGAAAAGAAAGTAAAAATATGAATAATTACTTATTAAAAAAAATCTAGAAATTACAATATGGGTAACCTTAAAATAGAACAACAATACTACATCTTTTGAATTTTGGCTCGTTAGAATTGTTTGAATTTGTGCATGTAGATCATCCGACCGGTCATTCAGGCGAATATCGATTGACATACTGAATGACAAAGGTGATAAGGGTGACACCAATTATCTGGCCGGTCATCTGGCTTACGTAATTCGGGTAATTTGAACGAACTCAAATTCGGTAGATCAATCATTTTTCAAAATAAAATTTGTAATAATCAATTTGTTAGTCATTTGGATGGCCGAATTATTAAAGGTAGTGAACCCTTTACGGATATACTTGTATTTTTACATGGGACGTGGTCAGTGTCACATGTGATCTACATTAATAAATACACGAAAAACTCATTCACTTGTGTAGGTGAATAGAAGTATGAGTTTGATCATCTCCCTTGTCGGCTTCCAGACGGTTCAACTTATGGGCAAATTACTACTCTACTCCAGATTCAGCCCAAAAAAATTTAAAAATTTTCTTTTGGGACATGCAGCAATTGTTTAAAGCCTTTAAGACCTATACTTCATTTAATGTTAGGTCTTGGATCTCGAAAAAATTGAGCTGTTACTTCTTCCCTAATGCTTAATAAGGAGTAAAAGAGTAATTCAGAAACACTAATTAGCGTACCAACTAACACACTAACTAAAAGAAGGGCAGGACATCCTAACTTCCCCTCAATCCAAATGTAGCAAAGGTGACATAATATGCTAATTTCTTTTTGAAGAAATGAACATGAAAGGTTAACAACATTACATAAATACTTTGTTTTATATTTCATAAGCATGTCTCCGAATGTAGGGGTGTGACGCATCAATTCTCCTTGATGGTCCAAACTCGGAGAAAACAGCACCACAAAATGCTGGGTTAGGAGGATTTGAGATAATTGACAAGATCAAGACTGTACTGGAAGACCGATGCCCTCGAGCAGTCTCTTGTGCTGACATTCTCAATCTTGCAACAAGAGATGCAGTCCATTTTGTAAGTCTCTCTCACCTTTTTATATTAATGCACTCAAGTTGTATTTGATTTGTTGATAAGATTTACGCAAATAATTTATTTTGAAATTAATTGTTTTAATAAAAATAATTTAATCATTTTGTAATGTAACACAGAATAATTTTATTATAGGATAAAATATAGTATCAATCAAATGTAAACTTGCCCTGTTTTCCTAAATACTTCTGCTAGGCTTAAGTATGCGTCCAATATTTCTTAAAATAAGCATCACACAAATTTATTATTATTAAGAAATACCATGGTACATATATGTCAAAAAAGTGTGTATTATATGCATTTTATAAGTAAAGAAAAAATAGCATAATTTCATATTTTTTGAGACATAGCTAAAAAAATGACATAAAATATATCATTAGACATAACTAAATATTTTATGAGTTGTAATTAAAATAATGTCATAACTAAAGAAAAAAATTAATTATAATAAAAAAAAATGACATAATCAAAGGTGTATATGATACACTTTTTCAAAAGTGTATATATTAGAATTTTCCATTATTGTTTATTTTAATGGTTATTTATTTATTTTTATGAATTTCACAGGCTGGTGCTCCATCTTATCCAGTTTTCCTAGGAAGAAGAGATGGGTTGGATTCAAATGCTGCATGGGTTGACCTCCCATCCCCCTCGATTTCATTCGAAACAGCACTGCAATTCTTTCAATCCAAAGGTTTAGATGTATTGGACATGACTACACTCTTAGGTAAAGCCTCTTCTTTTCTTTTTTTGATATTTTCAATCTTAAAATTATATTTAGATAATGAAATTTAAATTAAAAAAAGGGCAAACTCGTGGTTAAAACATAACTCAAATCAAATGTTTTACTTAATTTCGAATGTTGTTGAAATAATTTAACTTTACATAAGTTGAAGCTGCCATTATACTTTCAATCTTAAAATTATTATAAAATTTAAATAAAAAAAGGGCAGACTTGAGGTTAAAACATAACTCAAATCAAACGTTTCATTTAATTTCGAATGTTGTTGAAATAATTAGGCTTTGTTTGGTGGAGCTCTGGAATGTTAGTTTCAGAGTTTGATTTGAACATAGCGTTTGTTTACGATTTTCAAAAATTAATTCCACACTCACTTTTGAAAATGCGGTCGAAGGCGAGAAAATTTTGGCTGTCCGGTCGGTTGACGGGAACAGTGCAAATATATATATATATATATTACAATTGACACATGTTAATTTTATATATTCAATAAAAATTATTTTTCGAATTTTTTAAAAAATTTTATGAGCTTTAATAGAATTTTAAGTTATGTGTTTGGTTATGAGTTGTAAGTTTTTATATCAAATATCATATGTCACATCAAAAATTCCCCACTTAATTCAAAACTCATTTACCAAACAAATTTTTCACACTCAAATCATAATTTTAAAACTCACAATTCAAAATACAACTCTATTCTCAAATCATATTTAAAAAATTCTACCAAATGCAACCTTAAACTTTACATAAGTTGAAGCTACTAAGTTACATTAACTTGTCCATGCTCCTCACTTTTTCCAAAACTTATAGGTCTATTCAATGTTGTGGACGTTATCAATTTTTCATTTATTTAAGTAAGAGTTATTTGTTAAAAAGTCAAGTTAAAGAAAGATATAAAGCATGGGGTTCAAGAGATTTTTTTAATTGGTGAGAAATCTATCATTTATGAAATAGTTTGGTAAAAAATCTTTTTATTTGTTTTGAAGGATATTTTATTTTTAATTTTACCCCTTAATTTATCTGTTGACTTTTCGTTGACTATCTGTTCAAATTTTTTTAGCTATTTGTTCAATTTTTTCCTCTTATCTGTTCAAAATTTTGCCCCTATTCAATTTCATAAAGCCTGTTTTCATTATCTATTGAGTTTCACAAGCCTATTTTTTCTATGTGTTTAATTATTTTTTTTAATTTTTATCTGTTTAAATTGTGACATACATTGAGAGGAAATAGACTGATCTGTTAAAATGTTATCTGTTTAAATATTTTACAACAAGAACAATTTGGATAACCAATAATGGCTTCACAATCAACCAATTCAAAAAAAAAAAAAAAAAATGAAATGTTATGTTATGTTATGTTCTATTTGTTCAAATCTCTCTTCTATCTGTTTCTATATCTCTCCCCTAGTACAACTTGTGCCCTCATCGTCATCATCATCATAATCATCAACAGCACACAAATAAATAAATAAAGGAGGAATCTAATCCTTTTGAACAGATTTGAGCTCAAATCAACAATAACAAATACAAAAAAAAAAAAAAAAAAAGAGAAAAAGATCTAATAATTTTGAAATTTTCTTATCTTTACCTCTCTCTCCCTATCTGTTGCAATCAGTTTCCTCATCATCATCATCATCATCATCATCAACAACAATCAAAAAAAAATAATAAAGAGGAAAAAGAAAAAAAATATATAGCGAGAAATTTTGAGCATATTTGTTTGTTCTATCTGTTAATCAACAACAACAATCATCAAAAAAAAAAACAATCTCTTTAACAAAAATAAATGATCTGTTGAATTCAACAGATCTAGATCAGAGACCCATGGAAGAGGGAGACGAGCAAGATCTAAGCCTTTTTGAATAGATTTGTTCTATCTTCATCTTTACTAGCAGAAACCTAGAATCCCCTATCTCCGTCGTTCAATAGCCATTATCCCTCCTCCAGCTATAACATTTTTCAAAGAAACACAATCTGTAATCTCAAAAATCTAAAAATTTCCCTACTTCCGAAAAGAACTACCAGAGTATTTTTTACTTCATTCCATTTCAAGCAAAAATTCCAATAAATCATCTGACTTACACTTCTAGTTGTAATCGTACCAAAAAAATCTATTGATAGATACCTTCTAACTATTTTCATCAACAAAAGCCTTTATACCACACCAAGCTTCTAAATTTTTATCCCATTCAGCTTGTAATCATATATTCACTTAATATTAAGTGTAATTAAAAACTTACTCGAACTTTAAACTTAAAAAATGATTTCATTAGCTATCAATTGGCAACTGAATGAGTACTTTAAATACGTATCAAATGCAATTCCCAACCTTTAACGCGTAAATCATCAAATTGAAGAGAAAAAAGTATATGTACCTCAAATGAGATTGATGTTCACTTCACGAACAGGAATCACGATAACAGTACGGGAGGGATCGGCCTCGAGAGTGAGGATTGAAGATCCGGCGTAGTGGTTGAGTGAGGTGAGGTGAGATCCGAAGGGAACACTGGCGAGATTATACTGGATGTGGTGTTAAACGTGAGAGTGCGAGACGAGGAAGCCATAAGAAATGACCTCTATTTTTCGATCTGAGGCTTTTGAACAAATCTAAGCCTACTTGGCCCTAAGAGCATCTCTAGCCTAATCCTCTCACCAAGAGGATGAAAATAAATTTTTTTATTCAAAAAGTAAATATAGAGTATATCACTATTCATTCAAACTCCAACCACAAACTTTTATTTTCTTCTCTAAATATTTCCCTCCAAAATTAACCATCAATTTTCCCTCCATCTATTTTCCTTACCATCTATTATTTTATAGAAAAACCAAACCCTCATACATCAAAGAAAATGACTATAGAGCTTTCTAAAACAAAAATGGATGCCGAGTATATTCATGAAGAAATGGATGCAGAGCATATTTATTTAAAATGTTTCACCTATTCACAACTAAAACAACCTTCCAGCATCAATATGGACAATCTTGGCAGCATCAATGTAAGTTTTATGGGCTATTTTTATTGGACAAATTATAACATAGGATTAGGATTATCAATCCATGGAATTCAATACTATGGTACAGTTGTTTGGGTGGATATTTTGAAGATCTTTTGTTTGGCTAACGGGCTGTGTAAGGGATGGCTCTTTTTTTGTGTCAGATTTGTGAGCTTATGGAATGTGTTGATGGTCCACATACTGTTTGTACGGGGAGCTTGAACATATACAAGGAATCACAATCTGTTTTGGAGCTTGAGTTTAGTCTTCCTTCCTGTGTTATAATTCTAAGTTAATTGTTTGATATATCTTTATCCATCCAGTTAATAGCTTTGGATTTTCTAGATTCTATATATATCTTAATTTTGTTAGTTGAAGTTGTTTTTGTATCAACTTGTTCTCTGTTTGGCATGCCTTTTTAGGCTATTTTTAGGTTGATTGTTCTTGCTTGTATAGCTGGGGTTAGAACTCGGGGCATGCCCCTTGTATTTGTGTTTATATTCTATTTTTATTTATAACTTATTCAACCAAAAAAAAAAAAAACTAATGTACCAACTAGTATTTTGTCATTATTGCCAACTCCACTTATTAATTAAATTATAAATACCCAAAACTTCTAAAATTATACCACATCATCTGTTAGTACACTAATTGATACATATAACATTATTTATAAAATTATAATTTAGACTTTTAGATCGAGCATCCTTTAAACAATACACTTAATTTATTATATTTATTTAATTTATTTATTTATAGAAACGTATAGTATATCCCATTTGGTGTCACTATTTTTTTTTTTAATTTAAAATAATGTACACTCCATTTGGTGTGACTATTTCACACATTTTTTTTTTCCAATAATGCCCTCCATATCTAAGTATATCACATCTAATGATCTACTAATTTATTTTTCTCATTCATCAAATTATTCAAAATTGCAAAATGATTCTTATTCATCGAACCACCCTTTCTTCATCAAACCATTCAAAAATTTAAATTCAAAATTACAAATACATCATACTCTTTTTGGTACATTGGTTTAGAACATCGCATTTGCACTATCACTAATAAGTATGTATAACAAATTAAATAAACTCTTCAAGGTCCATTGCTCCATCATTGGCTAAAATATGAGTGCGTATATTTTGTACCGCAGGAGCGCATTCACTAGGGAGAACGCATTGCAAATACGTATGGGACAGACTCTACAATTTTCAAAACACAGGAAAACCAGACCCCACCATGAATCAACCCATCTTAAACGAACTCAAAAATCAATGCCCGTCGCAATTGAAGTCTGGCCAAAGCGATCCACTGGTGTATTTGAACCCAGATTCAGGACCCAATTACAAGTTCACCAACAGCTACTTCTCGAGGGTGCTAAAAGGCGAATCAGTACTCGGAGTTGATCAGCAGCTCAAGTTTAGGAATGACACTAATCAAATAAGCAAAGAATTTGCTAATGATTTCGAAGATTTTCGCAGGTCGTTTGCATTGTCGATAAACAGGATGGGAGGTCTCAGAGTTTTGACTGGTGATAAAGGAGAGATACGGAGGAATTGTCGTTATGTAAACAAGAAATGAAAAGAATTGAATGGCAAATATGGAGTGATTTAATTTGATGTTATGTAGGAGGAAGATACATGCTATCATTTGTTTTTGGAAATAAGGAAAGAAGCAATATTGAAACAACATTATTTATAAATAAAGGATGTAAACAAGAAATGAAAAGAATTGAATGGCAAATATGGAGTGATTTAATTTGATGTTATGTAGGAGGAAGATACATGCTATCATTTGTTTTTGGAAATAAGGAAAGAAGCAATATTGAAACAACATTATTTATAAATAAAGGCACGAAACAATTATGTTCTCTTCAAGATATTACTTCCACTCTGATGAGCTCAGCTATCATAATAAAAAAGAAGAAAATCTTCACTTTTCATTGACTTTCAGTACAAAATTGTCTCTGAAAAATCACGTATACAAGAGCAATAAAAAACGATCTTAAGAAAATGTACATGACGTCATGTCACAAAATCTTACGGGAAAAATTCACTTTTTCCATTTCAAACTATTATATCTGTATCATTTTATCTATTCTATCAGTTTTGATTGAGTGATTTGAGAAGAAATAAAATAAAATAAAAAAATTTGTCTATAAGTTTAATGAAAAATGATAGCAAACGATGACAAAAGACTGTTATTTTAAATGAAAATTTTCATTTTATTCTTCTGTGATTTGAGTTTGGAGCACTAAGATTATTTTACCCTTTTATGATTTGAATATTGGACGAGATGCTTCTTGTGGTATTGCATTAAAGCTAAAATGGTACTAAAAAAATAAATGGGGTGGGGAATTATGAAAAATTATAAGGAGGCTAATAGTAGCTCCATGAGGCTTGGTTTGAGTAGTGAGTTGGTTTTTTAATTTTTTGATTTTTTGATTTTTTTAGTTTAGGGCTAAAAAGTTTGGTTTGGAAAGAGTTTTTAGTTTTTTTTGTTTTTTTGACCTTTTTGTGAGAGAAAGAATGTAATGATTATAGGTTGGATGTGATGTTTTGTCTTATTTGACTAAAAAATCTATTTTATTTTTTGTGGCTATTTTAGCCCCAAAAAAACCTCCAAACCTACTTCCCAAGCAGGCACTAAATTGATTTGGTGTGTTTTTTTCATGAAATGGGTTTCCTTCCAAATTATAGACTGGAGGATACTATTTGGGCTTGTGGAACCTATTATGAATTCTTTTTTAATGATCTAAATTGTTTATTTTGTAGGGTTCTTCGTATATATCATTCACAAAAAAAAAAAAAAAAAAAAAAAGAAAAAGAAAGTTGATTCAATAATCGTAATCTATTTAATTTATCGCGTTTGTTACTAAAAAAATGAATGATCTATTTTTAAGGAAAATTAATCTAGGGTCCCTCTCCCACTTTTTTTAATGGAAGAGATCCACAAAATTATTTTTTGATGTCTAAGGTCCCTAAACATATATCAGAGAAATTTGACTTTTGCCTCTCTCTCTTTCTCTCTCTCTATCTACCTCATTTTGATCACCACCACCAGACGCCCTTCTTTATTCGACTTTCTCTCTTTCTCTCTCTAGTGGCCAATTTCAAACTCTAATCTCTCTCTTCTGTATCCCTCTGATCATGAGACTCATTGGCCCCATCGTCATCACCTCTGCCATAGTCGTCATCGCACTCTTAGGGACCGTCATCGGTCAGCTAATCTGCAAATACCTCGGCGATCGTATGGGCCGACGGCGTGTCTACAGCCTTGCAACCTGATCGGCCATGCTCGGTTCCGCCACGGCCTGCCTTGTCCTCCGTCGTCTTCCTCCTCGTCTCTTCACAATCAGACTTCGACGTCAACCTTTGTGGCTCCAGCGAGCTATCATCCATACTCTGTTGATTGGTGTGAAATGGATGGGTCTCCATGTGTGAGAGAGAGAGTGTGTGTGTTGAATATTGAGTCCCTCTGTCTGTGTGTGTTATGATGTGTGTGTGCTATGTATGCGTGTAACTGTGTGTATGGGTTGTGTATCTACATGGGTTGAAGCTCTGTGTGTGCGGTGTGAAGCTCAAAAAATGAAGCTGCCGTAGTGAAGCTAATATGTGTGTGTATCAGTGTCTTGTTTTTCAGCCAAGAGGGAATTTTCTCTAGAAATGAGTAAATTTCTCTGGAGTGGAAAGGGAAATTTCTCTGGGTTGAATCCAGAGAAATTCTCTGGTGAGATTTTCTCTGTGATGTGTCCAGAGAAATTTGAATTTTCTCTGTGGTTTGTCCAAAGAAATTCTCTGGATCGAATTTTCTCTGGATTGATGTTGAGGGACCTTAGACATCATGAAAATATTGAGTGTCCTTTATGCTATAAAATCATAATACCAGAGACCTTAAAAAAAAAAACCTTATTTTTAAATACACATTTATCATCTATTTTTTTATGGTAAATTTTTTTGAATAAAAATGGATACTCTTATTACCATTGTTAGCTTCTTCTTTTTTTCTTTTTCTTTTTTGAACTAGGAAAAAAGGATGTTTTGTGGTGTCGTCACTGCATCTGTGGGCTCTGGTCCCGAGTTGCCAGCTAAATTTAACTCAATCCATAAGAAGGATCTACCACCGAGGTACCAATGGAGCTCAGTCACACGCTACAGACGAACCCAAGGTTGATCAAAATACAGTATGAGATCTCAAAGAGAGTTTGCTGAAAAATCCAACCATTTTTCGTACCCCCAGAATTAGAACACGGGTTAAGCCACCACCCCTGGTGGTTATTACCATTGTTAGCTGGTGGGTTACCATGGCCATATGAGAGTATTTGCTTGGTGGTGGGTTTAATTGGTTACCAAAGGGAAAACGAGGCCATCGTCGTTGTAGATTGGGAAATTCAATTTGCACACCATGTACACAATATCTCCTTATTATATGCTTAGTTCACATCACAATTAAACTAAAGTATTGGGACAATTATAAAAAAAAAACAAAATTTAGAATTTGAATATTTGAACAAAATAAATCACAAGCTTTTAGTTTTATTAATCTAACTCTTGATCTTTTAATTTGTTTTCAATCTAAATTATTTGTCTATTTTCGTTAAGTAAAATCGGTGAAAAATATATATTTTTGTCATTAAACTCAATGTATGTATACATAAAATATCTAAAATATCAATTTTCATTGAATTTAATGACTAAAATACTTTTTTAGTTGATTTTACTTAATGTAAATAGACAAATAATTTAAATTGAAAATAAATCAAACGTTAAGGGTTTAAATCAATAAAATTAAAACTTAGATTTTATTTTGTTATAAAGGTCAAACTTTGAATTTATTTTTTTGTTGTTGTATTTTTTCCAAAAATATTTGATTTTATCTCACTGCACACTATCATTTTTTAAATAATATCAAATTACCTTCTTCTCCAACAAACCCTAACCCTAACTATTGCCACTACAAGTCATTAGCTGCCACTCTCTTCCCTCCTGTTGCCAACTTCTCTATAACCTCCATCTTCTCCTGCCATAACCATTAACCACTACATAACACTCGCTCAACCTTTTTTTCAATCGTGTCGTGCCTCTAGTGCCCCTCGCTCATCCTTACAACCACTACGCAATAGTCTCTTATCATCACAATCCTTCTCTACGTAGCTCCTCTCCAACCTATTATTCTTCTTCTATATATGAAAACCCTAGGGTTTTCTTTCTTTCTCTCTCTCTCTCTCTCTCTCTCTACAGTAGAGGAGGGCAGGGGGCTTGGTGGTGATGGAGTGGGTTGCAATGGCTGGGTTAGGTGTAATAACCCCAACTCGTGATTAGCCTATGATCCATGATTAAGAATGCCTAATAAGTAGGAGGGCATAGGGCTTGGTGGTGATGGAGTGGGTTGCAATGGCAGGGTTAGGTGTAATAACCCCAACTCGTGATTAGCCTATGATCCATGATTAAGAATGCCTAATTAACATGAAATTCTACGTTAATTGTATGAGTTATGTGGTATTTGCATTATATTTGTTTGTTATAGAAATATCTATTTATAATTCTATTTGTTTCTGCGAATTGAAGGCCTTATCGACATCCGATCACGGAATTGACTTGATTTATGTGTTATTTGGAATGTTTAGAACATTATGATAGGTTTAATTAAAATTCGATTCTGAACCAAATTAGAATAAAATAATGCAAATTTATTTAAGTTAAGCAAAGCATAATTAAGTCCACTAATCAAGGCTATATAAGGCTTATACACACTAGAGCTTTCTTTGTTCATCATTTCTTGAGACAAAACGTGAGAGAAGGAGAATTAGAGTGAGAGAATTGAATTTAAGAAAGAAATGAGAATTTGCTAGAGAATTAAAGGGCAATTGCAGAACTTGAGCAAGAACTTACTAGAATTCAAGGAATTGAGAACCTTAAATTCAATCTTTAAGCTTCATATTTGACTCATTCATGCATGAATGCTAAAGAAGTAAGTAGATTAATATGAGAATTAAGTTAAGATTAGAGAATTATAACTCAATTCCTACATGCATGCACATTTCATAGCATTTTGGGTTGTTTCCAAAAGTATTTCCACATGCATGGTTTTTATCTTGGTTTTGTTATAAGAATTTAACTTGTTTTTGAACAAAACATCTCATTTGATCATGATCTAGAGGCCTTATGTAACAACCCCAACCCATGACTAACGTTAATCCATGCTTAATTATGTTTAATAAGGAATTAAAGTGAAATTTTGCATCATATGTTGCCTTATGTGTGTTTATATCTGTTTAACGTAGAAAGATATGTTCATGTTTTCGTTTCGATTTCGGTTTGCGATTTGAAGGCTTTATCGACATTCGATTCAGAAATTGACTTTATTTATGTGTTAAGTAGAATATTTAAAATTTTATGGTAGGTTTAATTGAAGTTCGAATCGAAACGATTAAATTAGATTAATTTAATGTCCATTTGATTAACTTTAATTAATTACCACTACGTGAGCCTATATAAGACTCCCTACATGCTCCACTCATCCTTTTGTTCATATCAACACATCCTTGAGTCTATACACACAAACCAAACATGAGAGAGGGAGAGAAAAGAGAGCTTTAAGCTCAACTAAGGGATTGCTACGAGAAAATGGAGAATTGGTCTTAGAGACTCAAGAAATAAGCCTCTAGCTCTCACTTTGGAAAGTCTAGGTCACGCACCACGAGATATCTGAATTTCATACTTTGTTCGTTTACTTGGAGCTATCTGTTATCTGTGAGTAATAATTTAG